CAATCATAATCTTCCATCTTCGCCTTTTTGCGGCAGGTGATATGAGCTAACACTTTCTCTAACTCACTGCTCTCTCTGTGTGCTAATTTTAACCAACTACAAATCTGTTTTGTTGTCTTCTGTGCAGTTGACATGTTTTTGTGAGAAAAACATCCTTTGGGAAGACGGAGCAAACTTCCTGTCTGCGCCCCAGTGTTGAAGCTCCCAGCACTCTATGCTAAATATTCCTCAGCCTTCACAAGCTGTAGGATTTGACTTGGATGGAAATGTGGCTGTTTGACAGCTCGCAGGGCATGTGGGCGGGGTCGAAGAACAAACTAGGTTTAACACCCCCCCTTGTGTGCGTAGTAATGAACTCTTACCTTGCCTTGGAAGGCTGTGCTGCTGATATCCTTGCTGTGTGTGTTGCTCTTAATTGTGTCCCATGAGCCCTGAGTGCTCGGTATTCACAGCCTTTCCTGTCCCTCACACTGATCCTCCTCTTCTCTCAACCTTAGAGCCCCATCATCCCAATCCGACAGGTCTTTCCTCTTTAATCGCTTCACTTCAAAGCGGCATTTTGATGCCCCCTAGGCGTCTTAGTTCTTTAGAGATACAGGGTGAGCCTTGTGGGGCCTGGGAAGTATTGGGTGAAAGTGTGGCGTTGCATGAGGCAGCTGGTTGAAGTAGACAGGTGCGTTTTTAAAGAAAATAACAACAAGTAAGTCCGTTGTCGACCTTCATCACGTTGTCGCAGGAGAGAAGCCGGTGTTGTGTAATTATCGAAGCGGGTTGCACGTGTTGTGAAAGGTTCTGAGTAAGGCCGCGCTTTGATGAGACACACAAGGTGCTGCCTGAGAAACCTGCCAGCCAGACAAGAGCCTGGCTAATGTTTGCCACGAAAGAGGTCGACCCAGTGTCGTCTTTCATTTGCATCAAAATGGCAATCTCCGAACACATTTCCAGGGGCTGCATTCTCATCAGGTTTCCATTTAGTCCAAAACGATTAACGCTGAGAAAACAGGAGACTGCCTAATAGGTCCAGCCTCCGTCTTTTAGCTGATATAATTCTGCACCTCGCTTGCGTGAGCACTCGTCTAACTGTTTTGTAGCCCCCTAAAGGAGCTACTGTAGTGCGGAGAACAAAGAAAGCAGTCGCCGGAGAGGAAAGGATGAGCGATTAGCTGTGTGCTGCCCTTTGATCAGGTTGGGGATTGTTTCTCCATCGTGGTGGTTTATCTTTATCTTTTGCGGTTGACTAACGCTGTTAGATCAATAAATCCAGATGGAGTTAGATGATAATTCTGCCTCAGCACCGGCCTCATTAAAGCGGGCATTCAGGAGATATATAGCTGCTGGCAAGCCCCCTTTATTCTAGTTTCTATAGCATTACAACGTGATGTATTTGGACTGCCTAAGGCTGAAATGACATCCTTAGCGCCACATTTTTATGAAGTAAGTTTAAAAAGCTTTGATTTAAGGTTTAAAAGGACTCGGAGGTCATTAGTTTTATTAATGTGTCCGCCGGAAGTCAAAAGGTTTGCGTTTGTTAACACCAGCGGAGAAGCTGATGTCAGAAAAAGCTGTAGATGAAAGATTTGTCACTTCCTGCTTGTTTTCTTTTCCACTTCCTGTCTCCAGAGAAAACGTCACAAACCAAATTACCTGCTGTTCTGTGACCTTTGACATGTCAGTCAAAGTTTAACACTTGATCAGCATCATTAAAGGGGACCAAGAGAAAACACGAACTGCCTCTAATGTTGGCTATGCTCCAAACAACCACATTCACTCAGTGTGTTTTCCAGTTGCACCTAAAGAGAAAACTGTTTATTTGGCTGAATCACCACAGTCAATGAAATGAACAATGTGCACACAAAAAAATTGAAATAAAAGTAATTGACTGCTCTGCCTGGAAAGAAATCTATGCACGTTCTATTGGCTTTTTTTATTTTTTATCACTACACATTTTCTGTTTGAATAATGAAAGTTTTATTCTTTGTCCACGTTTGGGCATATTAATAAAGGCGCTAAAACATTTCCATTCTTGTGATATGAATCTTTCAATGATGATAATCCTCAGATTTAGTGACATTTGTATTGATTTTGGAAAGTGTGCTATAGACGGTGAACAGCCAGATATTTTGAGCTGAACACATACAGCACAAAAATCATTCATAATCTGTAGAAAATCTGTCAAATATTCTTGACCAAATCCAGCAAGAGAAGGACAGGACTATAAAATGGGGACATTGTGCCCAGCTGTGACAGACAGCTGTCACATATTGGCGAGACAAATGGATAAATATTATGCAGACTATTTGAATAATGTAGACAATAAAACACCTGAAGATGAATCTGTTTGCCATTACTGTAATAAGTCTGTAACTCCTGTGCCACACTGCATCAGGTACACAAATACACAAATCCTCTTTCCAACTCTTCTTGGTCTTGAATGTAGAAACTTCTCAACATTCTTTAAGCACATCTACAAATTTAGAAACAAGCTGCCATGATTGGCCAGTCTTTAATCTTGCTCATGGCTCACAATTGTAATAATGAGTTTCAGTAATCTTGCAGTGTGGAGTATCACAGCAGCGCACACTGAGACGGGAAGTGTGAGGCAGTTGCTTTGGAAACTGTTGAGTATGATTTGTTGTGGTATCGATCAAATGTGTTTAGTTGTTACTGTTGTTAGCCTGTAGTATATCAGGGAATTTTCTGTTAAAGAAAAATAAATGTATCATGTAAGTGAACTGCTGAACATTAAAAACTATCCTCTTTAGGAGCTGCAGATGTTGGCTGATGTCATACCTAAACCTTGCAGCCTGAACTGTTGGTGATTGGACACAAACACACGGCTTGAATCTGTGACAACAGACAATACATTTCATGATCATGACCTCATGCTGCCTTGCTAACTACAAACCCACTCTAATCTTATTTATACCCAAGAATTGAATGTAAGTTTTAAATTTGAATAAAAGTAGCCATTATCAGACTCCAGAAATGGAGACGTTCCACAATGGAAAGGTTAAGTCTTTATTTGGAGTGCGGTCTGTTTCCTCTGCTCTGTCGGTTGTGACTTGAATTATGGGAAGTGAAACGAGCATTCTGATGGAAGTTGCTTCAGTCTAACACAAAAAGATACAAAGTGATGATGCAACATTATCATCAGACCTGAAATATCAGCAGAGGTTATTCAATTACCCTCATCCTTGATGTTCAAATTGCTCACAATCCTCATGAAACTAAATGTCAATTATAAATTGGCGAGTGATTTCTTTAGAAGGAGGAAACCTTTCCTCTCATGAACATTCGTTGCCAGCTTTGTTGGGCCAGCTTTGTTGGGCCCGCTTTGTTGGGCCCTCAGTGGTCTGGCCTTTCTGCCCCCCACCCCCCTTGAGGTTTCATCCTATTGTTGTGCTTTCTCAGCCGTCTGCGCCGATCTCTATCCGCTCCCCCATAACCGATTCATTGAGGTTCCTGCATCCCATTGGTGCTCTATTTTCCTATGCAAGTGTTTCCATGGAAACCAAAAAAATAATGTAGACCCTCAACACTGTTGCTCTCCACTGACTAATAGCTCTCTAAACAGGGGTTCAAAAGAGTCTACCTCTGCAACAGGCTCCAGGGTAAAATCTGAGCACTCAGCTGCTTCGTCCTATTACAGACCATGATAATGACAATTACATACTCATCTGCTGCTTTGGTAGTATTCTGAAACAAAATGGAAAAAAGGATTACTCTATTATTCTGCCTGGGGGTATGTTAGCTAAGCCATATGGTGAATATTCTGTATGACTCTTCAGCAAGCGCACATCTTTTGGCTCCCGGTGCATGCAGAGCCACTGATATTGTGACTGTTTTCAAGCTAGCATGATAACACAGTGTATCATCCAGGTGCATCTCTCCAATTCCAAAATATGTCCCTTTTCCTCACTCGGGCTTTGATTGCCTTTTTCCAGATGCAATCAGAGTCTCATATTCTGTATGTGGGAGGATGTGTTGTTGCCACTGTCACTTGGGTTTTGTGTCCTGCTGAATGTGATGTCTGCTCGCAATATGGTGTGTCGACGGGATGATGGTGCTGGCTCTATCAGCCATAATACTCCAGGGGATATTCTCCATCCTAAGTCCTTGTCAGTGAATACCCCATCTGCGAGTGCTGCTCACTTGCTTGTGTCTTCGGAGACAGCTCTCTCCGTATTTGGTGCAGGCTTGTCAGTGCCAGCACTTTGAACCTGGTTCCAAAGTGCAGTCAGTCAAAATTGCGCTGACTATTTTTGCACACAGAGGCTGGAGTAGCTGCAGTTTAATTGGTGCTCATTGCTATATCGTTATTTTCTGCTGGGAGAGAGTTGTGGTAAAGCAATTTAGTGACAGGAGAAAAAAGTTTAAAGCCTTTGTGCTCATTAGACACACTTGGTTGGAGACATTTCTCCCACTGACAGTTAAAGTCAGCAGTATGTGCTTAAAAAAGTGAGGTATTCTACTTTCAGTGAATAATGCATGAGTTCAGACGCTCCTCAAGGTCAAGTCAGGAACTCTGTGAGGAGAATGTGGTGTGTTGGGTTTTCTAATAATGGACAATTAACCTTTATAGAAGCTCCATAGTTTCTAATACCTGGAAGCAGATAATAAAATGTTACTTGGATGCAACATTGGTGTGGTGCTACTAAAGAGGATGCTTATTTTGTTTTGTTAATTTTGCCTTACAGCAGAGCTGAGAAGTGAAAAATTCACACGCATAAAACACTTTAGCAGTCTTATAATAGTGTGCTTCTGGGAGCGAGTGATTCATAAATAATAAATGCAAGCTCTATCATTTTAAGTGTCCTAGAATTTCATTTTTGCGTGTGCGTGTTTTTTTAACCTCACACTTTTGTTCCGCTCATATTTATGGTTCTTACTAAGACTAATGTGCCACTTTTCTTTCTGCCTGCAGGTGTTTTTCCTGTTTTGTCGTCCCATTAAGCTTAATTCTGACCCGTGTTCTCTTCTTCTGTGCTTTTGTCCAATAGCCCATGAAAACAGGAGAGGAGAGGAAACCAAGAGGAGTCATCACCTTCACCTGAGCAAAGATAACAAAGAGATACGCATGGTATGGGAGTGTTTCATCTTCAAACATTGCACACACTGCTTTCACCTTCAACATATGGTCATGTGTAAAGCGCTCGTATTCCCTTTGGTTTCCTGCAGTAAGGTACATCGGCTGCCATGTGGGGTTTCTACCTCAGCACACGCATGTTAAATCAGTGAGAGGCACAGGAGAAAGAGCTTGTTGACAGACTCTTTTTCAGTCAGATGCTGACAGCATGGGTGCAGAGCCTTTGTTACCGCTGACAGGAGGCAGAGTGCCGGAGCGAGAGCCAGTCCATGGTGCCAGTCCTACAAACAGACATAAAGGTTTCTGTCCTTTTCGCCATCACAGCAGGCTCACACTGGTCTTTCTTAGGCTCTGATTTGCACTGACATTTGTTACATTAGTATTCTGGACATGGCTGAGCAGCAGACATGTTTAAATGGAGAGGTTAAAGAAGAGGTTAAAGCCCACAGATCCGCTGTAATCAGCCTGTAGCACATAATCATACAAACTGTTAAACAGACAAGGCTTTGTCTTGATTATTCTGTTGTGTTTTAAACTGGCACATTGTTGATGACGAACCTTCACTCTGTGTATGAAGGTTTGTGCATGTTTGCACAACATGAAGCCATCAGTAAGTGATGAAACAGCTTTCATGCTTTCTACACAGGGGAGCCGGCTTTAGCCAAACTAACATATGGTCGTTTGGCCAGAGTGGAAGGATTGTTCATTAGTCAAATGGCTGGCCAAACACTGTCCCCCGTCCTGTTGTAATAAAAAAAAGAAGTAGTCTGTGCTCCCCTTTGTTTTCTAGCAGGAACTAGTGCAAAGTAAAAATGCCAAACACTCCTCTGCAGACAAAGGCCACTGTCACCATTGTCCAGGTCAACGTAGAGACCAGGGAGGTTCAGAAGAATTTCAGCGTGAATCAAAAGACACACCTTTAGATTTGACGAGCATCTGAAGAATGTAAAAACTGTTTGCTTTTATGTTGTTCTAAGTATGTTTTTTTTTAATTATCTTGTTTCCATGTTTGCTTTTAAATTACCTTCTTTGTTTAGTCCACTAAAAATAAAAGGCAATAATTTTCTTCTATAAATTGTAATAAAACAACTGCCCTGACCTCAACAGTTTTTAATAACATGTTGAATAGTCAACAAAGTCCATGCTCAATAATCCAGGTATAAAATCCAAAATTTTTCAGTCAGGTCATCTGGACAGTTTCTTTTTTTGTGCTGAAACGTTTCGCCTTTGATCCAGAAGGCTTCATCAGTCAAAGAAACAAACAACAACACTGATTCTTCCTCCAACAGCTTACTCCAAAGTGGAACAAACCAGTTCTGAAAAAAAAGAAACTGTCAGTCAGATGACCTGACTGAAAAATGTTGGATTTTATACCTGGATTATTGAGCATGGACTTTGTTGTTTTCAATCAGTTTGACAAGACTGTCAACAAGGAAGAGGGCCGGCAATGGAGGAGGGGGCGTACCAAAGAGACCATCTTATCACAAGCAGAACTGGTTTGTTCCACTTTGGAGTAAGCTGTTGGAGGAAGAATCAGTTTTGTTGTGCGTTTCCTTGACTGATGAAGCCTTCTGGATCGAAGGCGATACGTTTCAACACAAAAAAAGAAACTGTCCAGATGACCTGACTGAAAAATGTTGGATGTTGAATAGTCATTTTATTATATAAGTATTTCAATTTTCTATTTTTTTAACGTTATAAAAATTGTACTTCAGCTGCTTTACAAGTTTCATGTTTTTCTTTATTGTGCTAAAACAGTTAGAAAGTTACAATCTGCATACAGCAGCTGACTCAGGCTTCATCATCATGCTCCTCTTTCTCAGTCTGTGTGTCGTTTTCATGAAATCCTTCTTTAACTTTTATTGGTGTTACAAACACACCAGTTACTCAGTTAATACCATCCCTTTACAGTCAGTTTTTAAACTAAAAATTTCCTAAGACAACCCACCCCAGGTGTTCAGGCTTCAGTTCTGGGACCTGTTTGAATTTTCTGCTCTTTACCAACCTGTTGGGATCAATGCTCACAACGTGCACTTGGTCACCACAGCTCAACTCTGCAAGTCTTTCTTGAGCTTCACAACTTCCCTGTAAACTCACTTCTTCATAGTGGCTTATCTACTTGTTCGCTGGTCGCCACAGCTCATAAATCGTAACAGCCGATTCTACAGATATTGGAGTTGATTTGTTGTGATAGTGGCTGAGACTTATCCCCGTCTCATACTCTGCACAACAGAACTAACAACTCAAGAGGTTTTGTGTTTTGTTGTTTATCATGGACTGCTAGTTTAATTGAATGCATACATTTTTCATCTGCTTTTAACTTTTTGTCTGTTTTAATAAGGGATCTTTTTTGTTTTCTAAAAAAATATATAAAATTTTTGTTTTTAGTATTAACCCTTTGTTTTATTTACTTGATGTCGTCTTGATGGTAGAGTTTAATAAATTAGTGACTGTTAAAATAAATGCTATGGCTAATAAAGTATAATAACTTTATTACAAAACTTGTGGAATAGCCTGCTAAAAGCACAACACTACAAGAAGGCAGATTAACATGTGCAGGGAAACATATCCTTCTGCTGTGTAATTATGAAGAATATCGGTTTAAATTGGGTTATAACTCATTTTTGTGGAAATCCCCAAAGGTGATGTTTTATCCTCCAGAGCGCCATGTGGGAAAAGCCCCAGCAGCTGTGCAGAAGTGTTTATGTGTTCATTGTGTGCTGCTATCACATGCCCTCACTACCAGACAACCAACAGACTAAGAGCTGGAGCTGCAGGGGATCAATGCATCATTGGCCCCACGCTCGGGTATCGATCCTCCTCTGTGCAGCCAGTTTGTATCCTCACTTAGCCAGATAACGGTGGTGAAGCAATTAAATAAAGTCTGTTCTTGTGTTCAGTAGAGGCTAAATTCTGCTTATCTTCTCCATAGATACTCTTCTGAAGTTAAATATCAAGAAGTTATCAGTGCTGTTCCTGCTTGGCCAATCTTTCTAACCTCTGGAGCTGGAGAATCAATTTAGCTGCAGGAGTCCTAACAGCAGTTAGCACTGAGCTAACAGCTGGATGTGTGCCCAGTTGGGATGTCAGGAATGTGGCCTGCAGCGATGTCGACAACACATGGTCTGCCCTGTTTCTGACTGTGCATTTGTTCGCCGTGGGACTTTTCCCTGATTAATCACCCTGTTGTTCAGGAGTGTATCAGCTGCCTGGTCAGACGGTTTCTGCTCTCTGGGATGAGTACGATGTCTATCCAAAGGGGTTGAAGAACTCTCAGGCTCGGACAAAGACTGCTTTAGATTTACAGCACACAGAAGCAATTAGATTAAATAAAGTCTAGTCATTTTGTGGACCGCTTTTCATGCTGAACTTTTAAACTAAGTTCATCTTTTAAAATTATGTACATTTAGCATTCGTGGTCAAATCTCTAAACTAACATTAAGTGTGATCGCTCTCAATCTTGTGAGACCTCACAAGATTAGAGTGTACTTAGAGTACGTGTTTGGGATTATTTTAACCCTAAACCACAGCAAGATTCAGCCTGATATCTATAAAAATTACTGCATTACAACTTTTACTCTTCTTTTCTAAGAATGGTTAGCCATCTTGATTTGGTTCGACTCCAAAGGTTTATGGGTTGTAGATGTACATTAAAGGATTTCTTTTTGAGTTTCACTAAAATCTGTCCAGCAGTTCATAAGATATTTTGCTAACACACCTGCAGGGTTAAGTCCAGCAATTGATAATAATAAAAAGATTCAATAAATTTTTGCTATTGGAGCAAATAAGCCTTTTTAAAATTATATTCTACCGTATTTTCCGCCGTACACATCACGCCGCCCTAAAAGTCGCATCAGTCCAAATATGTCTAATAAAGAGGGAAAATCCATAAATACCTCGCTTTGCCGTATACGTTGCAGCTATTATATGTCACTGCTGACGCGTCGCGTTTGTTACGTGTCACCACTGACAACCCAGAAATGTGGGCCGGTGTTGTGCCAAAAATCGATTGGCTGCCATTTGGCGGCCGCGACAGTGTGCACGGGAGGACTTTAACAAGAATTTAACAAGAATAACACCTAAAAACAATTATTTGTTTGTTCAACTTTATAGTAAAGGTGTGTCTCAGTTGAACTTTTACTTAATAAATGCACTTTAATGATCAAATTAGCTGCATTTCGCCGGGGCGGAGCAGCGAAATGAAGCTAATTTGACGGTTGTTCCAAGCAGCGAGCAGAATGAAGGTGGGAGGCTATGGCAAGCCGATTGTGTCATCAATAGCCACTTTTACCTATTACATGACACAATAGCATGCCATACTGCTTGAGTGTCATCAATGGCTGAAAATGGTAGTGTTCAATATTTCAGTCAGAATGAATTAAAACGGTCATATCTCAGCTAAAAATTAGTTTATAAATATGGAAAAAATCTATAAATGAGTCACTTCGTCGTTTAAGTCACAGGACGTGCAAATTATGCAAAAAAACACGACTTATAGGGTGAAAAATACGGTAATTGTAAAATTTCATTTAGCCAAGCTAACCTGCAGATAAACTAATTATAGTTTCCCACTTAAGCCTTTAACCAGGACTAGGACCTTTGCAAAAGGTTGTCAGTTTCCTGAACTTCCTGACCCATTAGTGCCTCTGCTCTGCCCACTCCCACCCACACACTCATTTACTGGGTTGCCTTTGAGCTTCTTCAGTACACTTTCTCTTTGCAGTTGTTCCTTTTTGTTTGGAAACTACATGCCTTCTCCAAGCATCCAAAGCCACAACTGATCTGTATTCACTACACTTCAAAGCTCCACAGTGAGACAGCACAGCCCTGGGCTCATTCTACCCTAATTGGAGGTTCATTAAGGGACATGGAGCGCCTCAAGGGGACCCAATTCGTTACCAGAGGATTTTGGAGAGTGTTTACTTGGCTGTGGCTAATTTAGGAAGTTGTAGAGACATATGAAAATGAGTTTTTAATTGAGATAAAGGGTGATG